CCAAGAAATAGGGACCAAGAGAAGGGGACCAAGAGATGGAAAGGAGAGAAAGGGACCAAGAGTTGGGGACTAAGAGATGGAAAGGAGAGAAGGGCGCCAAGAGAAGGGGGCCAAGAGACAGGGATCAAGGGATGGGAATGAAGAGACAGGGACAAAACCCCAGGGACCAGGACCCAGAGTGCAAGGCCTCAGGAGCAGCATGCAGGAAGGTGCCCAGTCCCATCACACACTTTGTCTTTCTGCCACTCCTAACACAAAGGACAGGGGAGGATACGTGCACCTGTCCTGCTAAAAGTCATTTCTAAACAGGGAACCGCAGGGATTTAGGATCCATAATTTTTGGCAAACAGACATTAAATCCTCTTTACACAGAAAACAGTGGCAAGCAAGAGCCATTGCTCCCCAGCCTCCCAGGCTATGTTTTTAAACATTTTTTGGGGAGGGATTTGCAGTAATTTACTCCAAAGTTAATTTTTTCCCCACTTATGGTAACAAATGTGAAAAGGTCAAGGATAATGAAAGAGCAGTGAATTTGAAATGCTCTGGAAGAACAACTCAGTGCTTTTAGCAGCTCACTGAAACAGGGGAGGAGGAAAAGCAGCTCCTTCAAGGACTGAGGGCTTTGCCAGCCTAATGAAGCGTGCTGCCTCCTCAAACCCAAATCCCCGCAAGGACCGGGCTCCTTAGGGGGTGGAGCAGCTCCTGCCCGGCCCCAGCTGAAGGGACACATCCCAAAAGCTGAGCACCCCTCAAAGGCTGCCCCTCCAAGCCAGAGTTACCCACCCTGCAACGAGGAGAGGCTGGTTTATATTAAAAAAGCCACAAAACAGAGGGAGGGGAGGCTGGCCCCGCCATCCCACCCTCAGCCACCCACTGGAAAACGAGGCTGCTGCTGCTCCATCTCTGCCTGGAGGGTTGTTCTCACTCGGGGCTCACACTGAAGTGCCTGTCGTGGGGATTAATGGGACCAGCGTGCCTCTAATGGTGCTGGGAGGGGGGCAGCTGATGGCTCTGCACAGAAATCACAGGGTGTCCGTGCCAGCTGTGCTTGGTTTGCTGAGAAATCCTAAAAGGAGGGAGCAGATTTCCCCCTCCGGGTACTGACTGGAATAAAGATCCTCACTGCAGGCAGCGTGTGAGCTGGGAAAGGAGAGCATGGGGGTAATGAGTGTCCCAGCACCTGGCTGATGAGGGGAGCCCCTGTGCCTGGGGCAGCACTGCGCTGTCCCCTCGCTGTCCTTGCTGCTGCAGAGGGGTCATTTCTGCTGTCCCCGTGCTGGGCTGGGAAGCTGGGCACACTTTGGGCTGGGCTGGTTGTCACAGCGGCTCCTGGAGGGTTCTGAGTGCCTGTGGGAGAGCCCAGCCCTGCTGTGCCCGGCCGTGGGCAGGGAGGGAGGCAGGGCCCTGTCACACTGCTCCCGTCCCCAGAGGGCTGGGAATGAACTGGATAAACCCCGGGGACAGCTCTGGCACTGGGGCATGACGGGGCCCAGATCAGCGCCTGGGGCTGGCCTGCACCCCCTGAGCCCCCAGGCAGAGCCCCAGGGCCTGGCCCGGCCTGGCCCAGCCAAGGGCAGAGCAGCTGGAACTGCTCCATCCCCTAATGCAGATTTTCATCCTGCCGCTGACGGGAACGCTCCCTCTGCCCTGAAATATGAATGACTGAGAACTCAGCTCATGAGAGGTGGCAAATATGCTGATCTCCGCATCTTTTAACATGAGAATTTTCTAATAAGAAGGAGCCTTGGAGCCCTTCATGAATTAGGCATCAGGAGGCAGAGCAAACAGCGCTGAAGGTGCCCCAGTAAAGCCTTGCTCACACAGAGCTCCGAGAGCAGGATTTGCTGAGAATCCCTTCCCCAGCAGCCCCTGTGCCACTGCCTTGCCCTGGCTGTTTCCAGGTGGATTATGGACTTCCCTGGCTGCAGAGCAAATCCCTGCCCTGCCCCTGGAGCTCAGGGCAGGAGCACAAACCAGGAGCCAGCCCAGCACGGCCAAGGTCCCTGTCCCACCACATCCCCCTTGCTCTTGGCCGAGTCCAGGGCCAGCTCCTCCCTGCCCTGCCAGCACTCGTCCCTCTGCTCTCAATACTAAGGCAGAACGGAGAATTTTTAACTCCTGGTTTTAAATTCCCTTTTTTGGCCAACATTTCCCCGTTTCCCAGGATCCTGTGTTGCCAGCTGCAGCAGGAGAGGCTGTGGGTTGGTGGCCCCGTTCCCACAGCCCTGTGGGATTGGGAAGCACCCAGACCCCTCACCCTGTCCCCCCTCAGAGGGATTTGGGTGCGAGGGGCACATGGGAGAGGATGTGGCAGTTTTTGGTGGCACCACAGCCCTGCCAGCCCCACGGCAAACCCTGCAGTGCTGGAGCGCCAGGCTCAGCTCCATCCTCTCCCCACTCCTCCTCACACATGGCAGTTCATGCAAGGATTTTAAAACTGTTGCAGATTCTTTTGAAAGAAATGCTTCCCCACCCTCCCCTTTTCTTTTTCTTTTTTTGTTTTTCCTCCAAAGAAGCACCCCCCTCCACGGCAGCTGTGAAATTTATGGACTATTTACCTCCAGACTGGGCACGAGGCTGATCCAGCCTTAGAAGTAAATGCATACTTAGTCTTTAAGGCATATTTATCCATGTAAATACATATTTTGGTATACACATTCTTCGTAACACAGTTCTGTGGGCTCTGTGGAGGTTTTGGTAGCAGAACATTTGCCATTGTCTATTTTGAACACTTGCTCAGAAAATGTGCAAAAAAAGCAGCTGTCACTGGGATGGGTTTAACACTCCTGGATCTCAAAAACAGCATCGACTCTAAAAAAAAACCTATTGAAAAGTTTTAAAAAAGCTGTCTGGCTCTGAAGGATCCTGCCAAGACACAAACCCTTGGGAAGCTGCGTTTGTTGCCGAGTTGTGAGACACGCCTCAGCTGAGTGTCAGCCCAGTGCCAGGGCCAGCAGCCGTGTGACAGCAGTGTCACAGCGTGGGGACAGCCCTGAGGCACTGCACAGGAGCCCTCCCAGCCCGGGGGCTCCAGCAGCCCGCTGGAAATGCTCAGCTGAGCCTTTTCTTGTCGTGTTGGGAAGGAGGGAACGCACAGAGCCAGCCTGGCTGGCAGACAGAGCAGGGGAGCACAGAACAAACCTTTGCCCAATGTGCCCCCACCAATGAGGGGCTGGAAGCAGCCCCAGGCACTCTCCCATCCTGCAGAGCCTGGAGTGGATGTGCCCACACCAATGAGGGGCTGGAAGCAGCCCCAGGCACTCTCCCATCCTGCAGAGCCTGGAGTGGCTGTGCCCACTCTGCTGCCCCTTTGGGAGCACAAACCCCAGCCCATCCCAGCCCAGCTCACCCCGGCCAGGTGTGTCCCCCTGACCCCTCTGCTGCAGCTGCAGCCCTCCCCAAGCCCTGCAGAGCCCCTCAGCTCCCTGCCCCTCTCACCCCCAGCGCTCCCCTGCCTCACAAAAGCACCCCTGGCACCCAGACACAGCTCCCAGTTCTGCTGCTCTTGGGGTTTGGGGGTTTCTTTTTGGGCTTGGCGGGCAGGGTGTCCCCCACCGAGTGAAAATCAAATGTGGGACAGGGCCTCTTGTCCGTGCCACCCGGTGGCTCTCCCTGGTGTGAATGCAAACATTCAACGCTTCACTGAATATTCTGGTTCTCATGTTTAATCAAGCTGCTGCTCGTTCTATCCTGTTGCTGGAAAGATCAGGTTCCAAATGTCAGGAATCACTGGAATGCAGGGTTTGATCCAGCCACAGCATAGAACCCTCTCCCAGTTTTACACACATGGGTGGGGTTATCCACAGCCTCGTTTCTTCCTTCATAAAACTGCACTGACACAAGACTTCCTGCAGCACCACTGTTTCTAGTGAATGGATTCTGAAATAGAGCACTTTAAAGCTGCAATACAAGAGAGATGGGGGTATCAGGACTGATAAGCTCATTTGAGGTGAGTCTGTACCCTTTCCTTACAGCAGAATGGGTTCGTTCATGTTATTCCAGGTTTTAAAAAATGCCACATTTCTGAAAACAGCAACTGCTTGGCACACGGCTGTGAATCATAAGAGAAATAATACAGCCTGTCACTGACCACATGCAGAGTGACCCAGGATGTTTTATTGCCATCTGTTGGAGTGAACACCTCTGCTCTCTCAGCAGGGACAGCAGAGGTGCTGCACCTCCTGGCTGTGCACTGGCCTGGGACAGCTCAGACTGAGCCCAGCGAGCTCCGAGCCCTCCTTGCTGGAAAAAAAGGGGATTTTGGGACTGCTGAGTGTTCCCAGGGCCCAGCTGGGGCTGCTCACTGCCAGCACCTGCTGTGAGCAGGAAAAGTGGGGAACTGGGAAATTCCAGCCGCCTGCTGGAGCTCAAACACAGAGCCTGGGAGCGATGATCACAGTGAAAGTGGTGCTGCCCCACCCAAGGCCAGGCTGGACGGGGCTTGGAACAGCCTGGGATAGTGGAGGTGTCCCTGGGATAGTGGAGATGTCCCTGTCCCTGTCTCTGTCCCTGTCCCTGGCAGGGGTGGGATGGGATGGGCACTGAGGTCCCTCCCAGCCCAACCCAAGCCAGCCCAGCCCAGCATTCTGTGATAAGGATTTTGCTATTCCTGCTGTCAGTAGTTGTTGGTGAGCAGGTCAGGAGCTCTTGGGGCCACTGGGGGATGTGGTGCCCAAGGGCTGCTGGCCACGGCCACGCCAGTGAGTGACACAGGTGGCAGCTCTGTGTGAGCTGTGAGCAGCACCTCACACCAGCGCCGCGCAGGGCTGTGAAGGATGGAGCACCATGGCACAGGATTTCTGGGCTGATCCTTCAGGGTCCCCTGCACGGGATGCTGTGGGGCTGGAGGGCCAGCCCTGGCCAGGGGAGCAGGTCCCCCAGCCCTGCCTGCCCAGGTGGCTCTCCAAGCACAGCCACGTGCCCCCAGCAGGAGCGGCCCCGCTGCTGCCACACGGATATGTGGAGAGAGAAAATTGACACTCCAGGGATTTGCAGGTGTCTCATGGTTCAAAGCATCCTTTATCATTGCTAAATCAGCCAAACCAGTACAAAATTGAGTGCAAGAAAAATACCAATTCGCGTCGGCTTTGCCAGCAATACAAAAGGGACGGTCCTGACATTTACAGCCAGGTGGGAATTTGGCTTTGGGGGAACATTCCCACATTCAAAAGGTGCCACAAAATCGTTGGAGCTCTGTTTTCTAATGGGAAATGTCGTTTTTACAGAGGTCACCTACTGCTCAGTGGTGGTGGAGGGAGGGACAGGAAGGAGCTGGTGCTGCCCATGAGCTGAGCCCTGCCCCTGGAGCAGCTCCTGCAGGGGGACAGGAGCCTTTCCTGGGGGCTCCTCTGGCCTCACCCGGACACCTCCTGTGCTCCAAAGGATGCTCCAGCATTTCCCAGAACACATTCCAGACCGGTTGGAGAGGAAGAGGAAAGTCGTGTTTCATGAAGGCACAACCATGCTGAACTGGCAGGAAGGAGGGAAGAGAACAAAAGCGGTACTGCGCAACGCAGTTATAGTACAAGGCTCATTCTTGAAACCTGAATATCATGCTAGAAGAAAATCTAGATATGTGTAATATTTTGAAGAAATATTTTGAAGGCAATATTATTCGATTTTTTTTTTTTTTACTCAAAAAAGAACAAATGTTTTTTGTGTAAGTTTGGATAGAATGCTAGTTGAGGAGGGAACTGAATGTTTGTATTGCAGCCTTAAAGAAGCACATTTTTACTGCAATATCCTTTTTTTGTAAACTACAGTCTGCGAGTCAGCAGACCATGACTGAATGCTTCTGAAAACTTGTCGATTACAAACATGAAATCACAATTAATATCCTCTAAAAGTAATTTCAGAGTTCTCACGTCTTAAAAAAGGACAATGTGTACTGCTCCACAAGGTAATGCAGCTAATCAAAAAAAAAGGAGTCGAATTAAAGTATTTACATAATGAGCAATTCTACAGAAGGCGATCATCCCCATGTAAGCACTGATTATATCCCACGCCGCTTTTAACAAACTCTACCAGATTGGATCCAGTCATCAGCACTTTCAGAGAATCCTTAAAAGCCTTTTATGGGTCTTTACATTTAGTGCAGAAGGATGTTCTTCAGGTAGAATATGCTGCTGAGGGAGGAGAGCGTCAGCACCAGGGACCAGCAGGAGAAGAGCACCTCGGCGTGCCCGGTGATGCCGTACTGGGCCGTGCTGGGAGCTGCAAGGCAAGCACAGGGGTCAGTGGCAGTTCCCTCTCTCAGCCCCCACACTGCATCCCTCTCCACAGGTAAGGAGTTTTTCCCTCTCAGGGCAGCAGCAGGATTGCTCTGGGCAGCACAGAGAAGGCTGCCCAGCTCTGCTGCCACCTGCCCAGGGAGCGGCCCCGCTTGCTCCAGCAGCTGGAATTGTTTTTAAGGCGAGCACTTAGAAACGGGAGTGCTTGGTTTTTAACCAGCTGGATAATCGATCCATTTTGAGGTTACTGAGCCTGAAGATCTGCAGTGCAATCAATGAGAGGGGACTGGATGAAGCCCTCGTGGGAAACAGCTCATTGTCTGCCCAACTCCAGAAGCCAGAGTTTGACAATGGTGCTCAGCTAAAGACATTAATACTAATTTTGAAGAAATTGTATTTATTTGTTTACCACAAAGCCTTTCTCGAATTCCTGGGCAAATGCACACGAAGTGCAAAGAGAAAGGAATCAGTGCTGAGGAGCAAGGGAGGAGCTGGTCCCTGGGACTGGCAGTGTCCCAGCTGTGCCTCAGGGATGGACCTGGCAGAAACCCTGTCCTTGACAGGACAAGAGGAACGGCCTTAAACTGAGTGGGAGCTGATTTAGATGAGACACAGGGCAGGAATTGTTCCTGGGAAGGTGGGCAGGCCATGGAATAGAATTGCCAGAGCAGCTGGGGCTGCCCCTGGAGCCCTGGCAGTGCCCAAGGCCAGGCTGGACACTGGGGCTGGAGCACCTGGGACAGTGGGAGGTGTCCCTGCCATGGCAGGGCTGGCACTGGGGGGCTTTGAAGTCCTTCCCAACCCAAACCATGCCAGGATCCTGTGAAACCCCTGGCTTTGCTCTTGGAAAGCCTCAGGCAGGAGGAGGGAGCACAAGGAGCTGCTCCCTCACCCTGCACCAAATCCTGTTTGCTGCCTCCCAGTCCCCAGCCTTGCTCAGCCCAAATCTTGGATCAAATCCCAACCACCAGGGTCCCTTTGGTTTCTGTACAGACCCCTGCAGCTCCCCTTGCAGTGTGTGACATTTTACTGGCGCAGAGAATGTGACACAACCCCAAATCCTCTGCTTTCCCCCCATGCAGAAAGGCTCAGGTAATAAACCCAAAACAAAACAAGATTAAACTCGGTTTTGAAGCTTAGTTTAGTGACTGATGACTGTGACTAACTGCAGGCCAGGGCACTTCCTCTCCTCTCATTACAAAAGGACTTTCTGTGCTAAGTCAGGATGACAAATCAACCTTTAATTTATTATGAGGGCCGGGTGGGGAAGCTGAAGCATAACACAGGTGCTATTTCATTTTATGGTGTGAAGAGAGTTTCCCCAACTTAAGGATAATTTGAACTACAGTAGCTATAAAAGCCAGTGGAAAATTATGTAAATCTGATTTCCTGCATATGAACCAGCTCTGTCTTCCCAGGGCTTATTAAATCATACCTGGATTGTTTCTGCACAAAGGCAAGAGGGGAGTTAATGGGGGGAAAATGCACTGACTTGGGAGATAATAGAAAAGTTTCAGTTCCCAAAGCTGCCTAAGCAGAAGAATTGGATGGAAAAGAAACCTGAAGGAGAAGCAAACCTGGAGAAGCTTAATTATCAATTATGATGTCACACGAGGCCTACTGGATGGCACATAGTTTAAAATATTGGACTAGACTCTTAAAAATCCTTAAAAATTAATAATCTCCTGCAGACTTTTTCTTCTCCCCCTCAGAATTTTGATTATTTTTCTTGTGGCTCCCTGAATTCATTGCTGGCCAAGCAAAATGCTGTTGCTGGGTATTAATAAAATTTCATAGCTTTGTGCTGATGTATAAACTTTAGAAATAAACACACCTTTAAAATTTAAAGACTCTTAGCATGGTCTGCTCAGTCCTTGATCTACTCTGAGCAATTATTTTGGTAAGGACTGAGCAATCCTTGCTTTCCTGTGCAAGGCCATGCAAGGTCACTTTGTTCTTTTTTCAAAGCACTTTTGGATGGTTCTCTGTGTCGGACTAAGCCCTCAGTTTAGGGGAAAATGAAAAGGTTGAGATGTTTGAGAGCAGCATAAACCAGCTGCCTTTTTTTCCCCCACTGAAATATTACCATGCCATTGTTTCACACACACACACACACACACACACGAGCTCCCAGTCTTAATATTTATGCAGGGAGGTAATGGTGGAGGAATGTGTGATTAGGCTTTAAATAAAAGCTGGAATGATCAGAGTCTGTGATTACACCTGCAGCCCTGCTGGGCATTTCCATAAGCCCCATCCCCAGCGTGACCCAGAGCTGATTTCAGAGGGCTGGGGTGCCCAGGGGGAAGGAGCCCTGTGTCCAGGGAGGGTCAGGATGGGCTGCAGGAGTTTCTCCAGGGAAGGGCTGCCCAGCCCTGGCACAGCTGCCCAGGCAGGTTTGGGTTCCTGTGACATATTTGTGATTGGCTTTTTGCAAATATTAAAATGAATGTTATAGGTGTTGTGTTAGAAAGTCATGCTGTATTAATTCTCTTAAGTAGAGAAAGAGAATTTATTGCCCCATTATCAGAAGAAAGGAACTTCTTCCCACCTTGAAGGCAGTGTCAGGATTTGGAGGAAGAAGCTGACACTGCCCAGCCAGAATCCTGTGTTTGAATGGAATTTATGCATCATGGATGAGGTGTATGAATATGCAACAGGTGATTGCTTTTAAGGGTTAATCCTCTGTTAACGTGGGGCCTTTTTCGGGCTCGTGCTGCCCAGAAAAGGTACCCGGACTGTCCGTAACTCTTTGTTTTTATTGTCTAATATTGTCCTAATCCAAATTGTCCAAATTATTATTATTACTCTAATTGTATTACTATTTTATAACCATTTTATTACCATTAAACTTTTACAATTTTACAGACAAGTGATTGGCGTTTTTCACGGTTGCCCTTCCCCAGGGGCATCTCAAAGTGCCTGTGACACTTGGGGACGTGGCTCAGGGGTGGCCCTGCCACTGCTGGCCATGGTCGGACTCCCTGGTCTGGGAGGGCTTTTCCAACCTAAACAATTCCATGACTTTATGATCTGCTGCTGCAAATTCAGAGCCCGTGGGGGTGACACCTTGACATGCCTGAAAAGAAAGTGAGTTTCCATCCAGGAAAAGATTAAAACCAGCTCCACGAGCAGCCTGATGTCTGAAATACCAAATGACCCAGGATTTACAGGACACAATGGGTTTAAAATGTCAGCTGCAGCCACTGAGGGGCAATAATTTACTTTTGTGCTGCTGTGTAAGTCAAATTTTGCTCAGAGCCAGAGTGGCTGCATCCCTCAAAGGGAAAGGGAAAAGGGAAAGGGAAAGGAAAAGGGGACACACACAGAGCATCACCAGGGCTGGGAAGGGACCCACAGGGGCTGGGGGTGGAAACTGAGGTCAGAGGGGACCTTCAATGTCCCCTCAGGGCGAGGAGAATTCCCTGCCTGGCCATGGCACCACCCCGGTGCCAGGCACACCTGGCGTGCCCACGTGCCTTTGTGAGCTCTCCTTCTTCCAATTTAGGGATTATTGGACCTAATCCTAATGTTTTACACCAGCCAGCACTTGTGGAAATATTTAAGACACCCTTAGCACAGATAGGATTATATTCAGACATCTCTCCTGGTGTTGAATAGAAAGGAACAAAGTAATATTATATCAGTATCTCTAATTAATACAAGAGATTAGGAGAAGTGCTATGCTGGAACACACAAACCAGCATTTCCTAGCACCAAGGGCTGCATTAACCAGAAATAATTATAAGCTTTAATGCTGATGCTGTGTAGACAAAAGCACAGACCCCTTTAGGTTGTCTGAATAAGCAAGACTAATTCTGTTAAATGGATTATGCAGGGAGATGTTAATAAGCATTGCATTTAACCATATTCAGGTTAATCATTTACTAAAGGAAAGCCTTAATAAATTGGATTTTTTGGTGCAACGTTTAAAACGTACAGAGAGGGAAGGAATAAACTAACTCAAGGTCAGAGCAGTAAGGCAAAAAAGAAGGATGAAAAAGGCTAGGCTGTCAAATAAGGTTCTTTTAGGAGAAAAGATGGGGAGATAATGGGCCTCAGAAGGCTGGGGCGAGGCCTGGGGATAACATCTCTTCATTTTGTTCCACTTGAAGCTGCTGGAGGATTTATGGCTCTGGAGGAGGAGGTGGACAGTCTATAAAGGCTCTGTTAGGGAGCAGCAGCGGTGATGGGCACAGGGTGCCTGCAGAGCTCTGGAACCAGCCCCTCTGGCAGCAGAGAAACCTCCTTGGAGGCCAGGGCAAAGCTTGGCCTTGGGAGAGCCAAGCCTTGTCTGAAAATGGATCAGGGATTTGTTCAGACTCATCCAAATGCAGTCATGCTGAGGCTGAGTGCCCAGGCAGGAGCTGCACGGGATGGCAGAGGCAGGAGTGCAGGTGAATGGATCACTCTGAAGTGATGCCAGCTGCAGGCTGGAGCTAAACAGAGCCCTGGCCACGGTGGCAGCACCTGGAGAAGGCTGGGAATTCCAGAAATGTGGAAATGCCTTGGGAACAGGCATGTGGGCATGGAGGATCTCTCCAGCCTGGTGTTCCTCTGTCCTGGCCTGCTTCAAAACATCCCTGCTGTGCTGGGGTCAGCTTCAAAACACCCCTCCTGTGCTGGGGTCAGCTTCAAAACGTCCTCCTGTGCTGGGGTCAGCTTCAAAACACCCCTCCTGTGCTGGGGTCAGCTCTGGGCACCCCCAGCCCTGGGTCAGTTCTGGGTCAGTTCTAGGTCAGTTCTGGATCAGTTCTGGATCAGTTCTGGGTCAGTTCTAGGTCAGTTCTGGGTCAGTTCTAGGTCAGTTCTAGGTCAGTTCTGGGCCCCTCAAGACAGGAAAGACACTGAGGGGCTGGAGCATGTCCAGGGCAGGGAACAGAGCTGGGCAGGGGCTGCAGAATCCCTGAGGGAACCGGGCAGGGGCTGGAGAATCCCTGAGGGAGCCAGGCAGGGGCTGCAGAATCCCTGAGAGAGCTGGGC